TTTTCAGTCCTGTCGAACAGGCCCAACAAAGTGGGGCAGTGATTTCTTGTTGTCAACTTGTCATGGTGCCATCCACTTCTGTAAGTAGAGCATGATTAATAGAACTAGTCCATGCGTAGCAGTGAAGGCTATGCTCGAGGGCAAGCAAAGGTCTTCGCTCTTCAAATTAACAAAACACACACACTATATTGCTAACCATTTTTTTGTCTATTCGATAATTGACATTGCTAACGAAGCAGCTCATTTTCACAATAAAAATGCATAGATTTCAGAAGCAAAAAAAGAAAAAAAAAACAGTTTCAAATAGAGCATGGAAGAGTAGCCATCAACAGTTCAACACAAACAGCACTTGTATTTGGCCAAGAAAAGACAAAAAAAAGGAGAAGAAGTTTTTTTTTCCCTTCCGTTTGGTTGCGCGTACTACTATGGCAGGAGCGGCGACAGATCCCCGTTCGTTTGACTGCCCAATCCTTGTCGGGAGCGTGCCCGTGCGCCGCACTCGGCGCCCTTCCAACGCGTTTCACCGACAGCCGGGGCCAGACACAACCCGTCCCCACCTGTCCGTGACGTGCCAGGTTCGGTGCGGGGGGAAAGGAAGGGAGCCCTCGAGACCAGGGCCCAACGAAGCGGAAGCTGACCGGTGAGCCAGGCTCCGGGTCGCTGCCTCGTGGGGCCCTAGGACCCGCTGTTCCCGCACGCCCCGGGACACGTGCCCGTCGCTGGCCTCGTGCAGGGAGCCGAGCCGAGGAGTAGTAGTAGGCGGCGGCAGCGGCACGCACGCACGCACAGGAGGCGCAGCGGCCGCACCGCAGCATCGACGACGCCCCGGCGGGCCCATCACCCACCCCGCCATAGAAGCAAGCGAAAGCGAGCCCGGGAACCTCACTCTGGCCTTCCCTTTCAGGGCTCAGTTCGGAGTGGGAGGGAGACTCTCACTGTACCCACAGCAGGAGCGGAGTGAGAGAGAGAGAGAGAGAGAGAGGAGCCCCCCAAGATTTTCAAGAAGAGGCGAGAGACGAGGCAGAGGTGAGCACGCAGCAGCATCCTTCAACTCCGTTCCTCTTCGTTCCTCAGCGGCAAAAATGCAGGCTGTTTCTCCTGTTTGTTCTTGCCCTCCGGCCTCCCTGCTCGCCGCATCGACTGCTGCTGTCTAGTGCGCGAGCTCAAGAAACGGCCCCCTGTTCTCCATGCTTGCTTCCGTTTCCGTTTATCCTCTGCCCCATTTTTTCTTCTCTTTCTTTCTTGCCCTGTTTATCTGAATGGTTTGACGCTTGTCATGGGCTTTTTTTGTGCTTTAGTTCGTCCTCTGCTCTTGCTGGCCACACCACGACCTGCTGCCACAAGCGCGAGTCCTTCCAGTCGAGGACGGGTTGGTTTCCGGCAACTGAAACCTTGCTATGCTGCTAAACTAAGACACTGCCGTAGTACTGCTGGTACGGGCGTTTATTATTGCTTTAATCCGCAGCCAATGCGTCATTACAGAGCATGCGGAAACAGAATAAACGCGCCTTTCTTAGCGCTGCTCGTACACTAACGCCGCCTTTATTTAAGATTCAACCCCCACGCAAACGATGCGTTACCAGCCCTCATTGCAGGCGTTGCTGCTTCAGTTCTTCTTCTACCAAAGCTTTCGTCTTTTAGAGAAACCTCCCTGTGCATCTCTCTGATGTCGCGTCACATTACCTGCATCAATCTGCTGGCGCTCGGCTCTCCTCCCATCTGCACTTTGGTCACTCCTCTGTCTGTTCTTCACCAGTTCTTGTCCATCGATGGATGCGTTTGCCCGGTCCACAACTACAACCACACAACCATGAGAGCAGGCAGGCACACTGCAGGATCTACCACCATAAATATCCTTCCTTCTATGTAAAACCGTGCAGTTTAGTTTTTTCTTCTTTGTTGGAGACAGTAAAGTAAACAGTGCGAGTTACTGCGCCTCCCCCGTTTGAATTTTTCACCCCTATACTCTTTCGGCGACACGAGGCCCATGCTATTGCTCCTCCTCCACTCCTGGTAGGAAAAAGGCTGCCATTGCTGTTTCTCCAGTTCTGCACCACCGGAGCGAATCCCCGTTTTGGCCCTCGCCGCGGAGGTGTGCTGGGGTGGTTGAACCGAGGGCAGTTTGGTATGTTCCCAATAGTTTAGGTTTGTCGTGGAAGTGGGTTCCTGGCTCTTTGCTGGATTCCCTCCACCGGCGTCCTTGGATTGGGGGTCCTTGCTGGTGCCACTGTTGTAGCCTCTGCCTCAGGGTATCGGCTGGAAACGACACCTCATACTTTCAAATTTGATGTGAAGGGAGGCAGAGATAGCGAGTACTATACATCACTTATTTTTTCACATATCCTGACTAGTAGCAGTAGTGAAGTTTCCTGGTTGTTTTTTGAGAAAGATTTCAGGTTCATTCAGTTAGTTGCCCTTTTTTTTTTTTAAAGGAAGTTTATGCCGTGTTCGGCGGAGCAAGTTCGTCTGGCTGTTTTTTTTAGCCAGAATAGTGTTTTCACTTGCAAGATTTCAGTATGAACAGTAAATTCCAGCCTGAACAGTGTGGAATTAATACCAGCCGAACACTAGCTTAGATGCCATTTAGCTCTTCAGCTTTTGTGTCTTATTACAGATGCTAAGTACAGGAGCAACTAGGCATGCTTTTACTTGTACATAAGGAAAATTGTGCAATTTTACTCACTTATCACTGCTTTCTTGTTTGCCCAGGAGTTTGGTGAGTGCATAAGGACTCTGAGGAATCTCATAATGCAGACTTCAAAAACAAGGTTAGCGCTCTCCCTCTCACTATTCTCTCTAGATGTCCTGCAACTTTCTTGGGTTGTAGTACCTCCATCTCGTTTTTCGAGGAGTCAAACGTTTATACTTTAACTAAGTTTATATAAAAAATATTAATAATCATGATACAAAATAAATATCATTAGATTAGTTATAGAATATATTTTTATAATAAATTTAATTGAAAACATAAATACTAATATTATTTAATATAAAATTGGTCAAAGTTGAACTCATTTTCCTTCTCTTCTTTTGTGATTGCCCAAGACCTGCTGCACTGAGTTCTGCACATGCATCATGCATGTGCATTTCTGGGTGGCCTGTTTGCTTGTTTTACGATCGTAAATTTTCACCGGGAACAGTGTTTTTTCTCTCAGACAGTAATAAATAATCCAAGGATTAATACGGGTTCCTATTTAATGGTTTTCTAACACAGTAGACAGTGGGCATCCAAGGATTAATACCCGGTTCCTATTTAATGGATCTAACCATTGCATTGTGGCGGTGGGGCCAATGCAGGTCATTCTGTTTTTAGGGGCAATACAAGTCAAAATACTTGTACATTTTTGTTTTGTTCCTGTTGTTAATTGAATCAGCATGGATTTTGCAACTGCACCACGTTGGAAATATGAAAATAATTTACAAATTTGAGGGTGACATGCTACCATAGGCTAGGCCCATATTTGTATCGAAGCTGCTAGGAACCTGTATGTACCATTTTTCTTAAGAGTTTACTTCCCTACCAAGCTAGCAGATGTGCTGAATGTACTGACTAGTACTAATTGCATTTATGTTACATTGGTTCTTGTACACAACACAAACAAGTGAGTCACTGTACAAATGCTTCTTCTTTTTTCTCAAGCTACGTGCCCTGTTGCCCTGTTCGCTTGGCTTATAAGCCGTATTTTTCAGCCAACGAATAATACTTTTCTCTCACAACAAATCAATTAACAATACTTTCAGCTATTGTCTACCCCAACACTACTTTCAGCTATTGTCTACCCCAGCTTGCTCGGGACTAAAATGCTTGGTTGTTGTATGATCTGCAGGACCATTTCTGGAAGCATGAAAATATTTTACGAATTTGAAATCTGCTATTGCCTAGATAGTTATTGCTCTTTACCCTAGTGAAGCCATGGAGTTAACTAGTAGTATAGTTTAAGGATGACATGACACCGTTGTAGGCTAGGTCCATATTTGTATGTGAAGCTAGGAACTTATGTACCATTTTGCCTAAGAGTTGACATTACTGCCCTACCAAACCAAGCTAGTAGATTTAGAGGGTGTTTGGTTCTTTAGGCGCTCCTAAAATTCATGTCACATCGAATGTTTAGATACTAATAAAGAATATTAAATATAGATTAATTACAAAACTAATTACATAGATGGAGGCTAATCTGCGAGACGATTTTTTAAGCCTAATTAATATGACATTAGCATATGTTTACTGTAGCACCATGTTGTCAAATCATGGACTAATTAGGCTTAAAAGATTCGTCTCGTAAATTAGTCGCAAGTTGTATAATTAGTTTCGTAATTAGTGTATATTTAATACTCCATGCATGTGTCTAAATATTCGATGTGACAAGAATTTTAGGAGCGCCTGTAGAAACCAAACAAGGCCTTACTGGATGTTGTTACTAGCACTGCATTGCATTTATGTTGCATCGGTCCTTGTATACAACTCAAACAAGTGAAATCGGGTGTCATTCATCTGTACAAATACTATTTTTTCTCAAGCTGTGATCTATGCAAGTACTGTAATGAAATATTAGAAGCCTGTTCGTTTCGGCTGGATTGGCTTATAAGCTGCTGGCTGAAAGTACTGTCGGCTGGTTTGGTGTGAGAGAAAACACTATTGGCTGACTGATAAGCTAAGCCAGATACAGACAGTTACAGGCTGTAGTATTGTAGTGTCATACAACTGTTTTATTAGTTCTTTGGGCAGCTCATTTTTTTAATAACTAAACCGTGTCCATGTCTTTGCACAAAACTGCATGCTTCTAGTAACTGTTCACATCATTATAAGGTCTTTTACAGTGACTGAATATTTGCTCTCATTGCATATGTGTGAATCTGCATAGATATACCGTGTCTTTTTTTGAGGTGATGGGATTTTCCGGCTTCAACCTCTTCAAAGAAGAGGCATCAGATAAACACTTTTTAAGAGTCGTTGGGTCCAGTACTTTCAAGTTCATAAAGTAAAAAGATGTCATCATGCCATGTTCAGCATATCTGCATATGTTGTTTATTTCCTGGATTCACATATCCTTGGTGCACTAAGGTCTGCAACAACTTTGTATGTTTATCTTATCTGGATCTGGATTTAGTTCTTCTGTGGACTCGTTGAGGTTTGAGGCTCAATGTGTTAACGTGCTTAGTTGGAGTTGGACTTTGGTGCCAGACATTTCCTTGTATCAGAAAAGACGTCATTTAGATAAAGAAAAAACAAGGATTTCCAAATTTAACTTTAGATGTTAGGATCATGGATATTTTAATATTTACATGTCTCTGTAGCCATACCTTGTATGATATGCACTCAACTTGATTAGTATGTGCAAGTTGGCAATCACAATTGATAAAATCTTTTATTTCTGAATCAATATTTTGTAAAGTATTTTTAGCCTGTTTAGATCGCTAATTTCTTTTAGTGCTCCTTTTATCATGACATGATGCTAGGTGTTTACATTACATTTGACCTCTGCAGGAGTGGGTCTTCAGATGCCCCGCAGAGGACATCTCCAAGGACACCACGAGCATCTCGTGTGGCAAAAACTGGAGGGAATGAAAATGATTCTACAGGAGTTACCCCGACAAGAACACCTACGGATAGGAGCCCAAAGGTCATTGAGAGGCGGTCTCCACGAAGCCCAATTACTGAGGTAGTGATATATCTTGCAGCCAGCACATTATCTTCACTCCTTGTTTTACTTCCGAACATTCAGTTTTCCTTATGTTACCAGCATGATTGGAAACCTCTACACTAACACTCAATTTATTTTGAGCAAATGACTATTTTGTTATGATTATTTCAACATCTGCATATTTTTCATTGTAGGAACTACATAATTATCTGTATTATGGTTTGCATCATGTATAATCATTTAGTCACATAGTTTACGCTCTGTTTCAGAAGAAGCGCCCCAGTAGGCTATCTGAATTGGAGTCCAAGGTCAGCCAGCTGCAGGATGAACTGAAGAAGGCCAAGGAGCAACTTAGTTCATCAGAGGCACGAAGGCGCCATGTGCAGCAGGTAGCCGAGGAAGCAAAAATGCAAGAGCAGGCTGCAACCTCGAAGCTGGAGGACTTGCAGCGCCAGCTTGACGAGTCCTCGGCTGCAGAGGAATCCCGTCTCCAGGAACTGCGCAAGATCTCACAGGAACGTGACCGTGCCTGGGAGTCAGAACTTGAGGCAGTACAGAAGCAGAAATCAGTAGATGCCGCAGCACTCAGCTCAGCCATGTCCGAGATTTCAAGGCTGAAGCAGCAGCTGGAGGCTTCAGCAGAGTCTGAAGCAGCCCGTGTGAAACAATGCGAGTATGTGGAAGCTGAGATTGAGGGCTTAAAGCAGGAGATGGAGATCCGCCTAGCGACCATCGAGGGCCTGAAGGTCAATGTCAGTGAGAGTGACAAGGCCGCGGCTGAGGCAAATGCCATGGCAAATGAGACTAAGCAGCAGCTGGAGACAGCAAAGGCTACCATTGACTCACTTGTAGCTGAGGGTGTCCGCATGCAAGAATGCCTGAGGTCAAAGGACATGGAGCTCAATGACTCCAAGGTTCGCATAGCATCGCTCCAGGAAGATCTGAAGAAGGCACAGGACATGGCCAATACTGATGTAAGCTTTGGCAACCCTGAGCCTGAATCTCTGAAGAAGGTGCTGATGACCACTAGTGACGCCGATGCCAATGGGAGCTGTGAAAGTTCTGACCCAGAGATTGAACAGTTGCGAACTGCTCTTGAGGTTGCTGAGATCAGGTACCAGGAGCAGCAAACTCGGATGACTGTCGAGACTAAAGGTTTGTACGAGATACTGGAGAGTGTGAAGGCTGAGAGCGCCCGCAAACTGTGTGAGCTTAGGCTCGAGCTGAAGAGCAAGAACGATGCACTCATGGAGGCAATGGCAGGAGCCTGTGCAGCGGGCAAAGCACAGCAGGATCCTCACAGGTCAGACGTCATGCAGCAGCCGGAGCTGGAGGCGAAGCTGATGAAGTCGATCACGGTCGTCGCGGAGCTGAAGGCGTGCCTGATGGACAAGGAGAACGCGCTGCAGAGCCTAGCGGAGGAGAACGAGACCCTGAAGGCGCAGGCGGGCAGGACGGAGGCGGAGCTGCAGCACAAGTACGAGGCGGCAGTGGCGGAGCTGGAGCTGGCCAAGGCCGCGGAGCAGGACGTCCGGATGCGGCTGGGGCTGGTGACCGAGGAGGCGGACAAGAGCAGCCGGCGCGCAGCGCGGGCCTCCGAGCAGCTGGATGCGGCGCAGGCGGCCAGCGGGGAGATGGAGGCGGAGCTGCGGCGCCTGCGCGTGCAGTCCGACCAGTGGCGCAAGGCCGCGGAGGCGGCCGCCGCCGTGCTCGGCGGGGGTGGGGAGAAGAACGGCAGCTGTGGGAGGACAGTGGAGAGGACCGGGTCGCTGGAGCCAGAATACAACAACTCCATCGGTGGGAAGCTGATGAGTTCGCCGTTCTCGGACGAGGTGGACGAGGCGTCGCCAAAGCGGCGGAACAGCAGCGGCGGCGGCGTGCTAAGGAGGATGAGCGGACTCTGGAAGAAGAGCCCCAAGTGAGAGGGGGTGGATGGGGTCTGATTAGCGGTAGCAGGTGCGAGATCAGGATGAGTAGTAGTAAGCTGATGAATGCAGCAGGGAAGAAGATGATTATGCTCTTTCTGGACTAGGAAACATGATCGTCTTGTTCGGCTGGTACTTGAATGAACCTTGTGTTGAGCAGCTGTTTTTGGCTGCCTATTCTGTACCTTACTATGATCCATTCAGCTAGTATCCCAGATGTTCCTGGTTCTTTCCATGTTTTTGAAGCGTTTTTATTTTTCCTTTAGAAGCTATACATCATATACGCCAGTTGCCTCAAAGAAAACGGGTGTGTTTATGGCTGACGATTTGGATGTATCAGAGTTCGGAGCAATGTCCACCGCCGGCAATCCTAAATCTTTCCATGAATTCAACCCAAACCTTGAAACCACCTGCATGAATCTCAGCTCGAGATTTGTTGAGCGAGAGGAATTCAAAATGGGAGACGCCGGCGCCCAAACGTCCGGCGTCAAGAGGTGCCCGGAAGCAGTTCTCACTCAGCCTATAAAAGTTATCTGGTTCCACACGTAACGGAGGGAATAGACTGTGCCCTGCTGCACGCAAAGCCAGGGACCGACCGTGCCCCTGCTGCCACCCCCTCCGCATCCCATCCCTCCGCTTCGCACTCACATACACGATGGCAGATGGGTTGCAACATTCAGATAAAATATTTGCAACCGAAACAACTAAAACACTTGAAACATACGTCTGAAATGCCAAAAAAACACGTGTAGCCATTGCAAAATATATACAACATACAAATAAAACACTTGAAACGTACGTTTGAAGTATCTGAAAACACTTAAAAACATAAGCTTGCAATATATATATATATATATATATATATATATATATATATATATATATATATATATATATATATATATATATATATATATATATATATATATATATATAACATCCATATCTACTTTTGGAACACCAAGATAAAACACTTGCAATATACATCTAAAACACTTGAAACATACGTTTGTAACACGTGTTTTTAGCGTAATATCTCCTTACTGTTTGGTAATGGAGGCTCGTCAGCGTGTGGAGGTCACGGGTGTAAAGCTCCCGGTGGCGTGGAGCTCGCCGCATCGGTGGAAAAGGACGCGGCAAGTCCGGTGAAGAAGGCCTTGGCGAGTCCACACGCTCTAGAAGACCACAGCGTGCGAGAGGCGCGATGGAGATGGAGGAATGCGGGTTGCTGCGGCTAGCGGAGTGGAGGGACGGTGGAAAGAGAGGCATGGTGGAGAGTGCGGTCACCGAGGCGCCGTGTGGTCGCCTCCTAGGCAGCGCGGTCGTGCGGCGGCGCTTCGTGAGGTGAGTTTTTTTTAACGATTTGGGCGAGTGCGAGTGGATAAGCAGGTAAGAACTACCGTACACCCAGAGTTACCGATTTTGCAATCCTCTCGCTCAACAAATCTCTAGCGATATTCAGCCCAATGAATTTTGAATCGGTAATTCTGGGTGTACGGGCGTCCGGCAGACGGGCTCATCGGATTGAGATCGCCAAGTTCGTTTTTGTCTTGGCATTTGGTCACGTGGGCCATTGCGATTTCTGCATTTCCACGGACCATGGTTTTTTCATTTTGTTGGTTTCATACAAGGGCGCTAAGCCTAGGCAAAATACCTAACAATATTTTCATTTTTACAATAACCCGAACCTAGACTAGAATTACTCAAACCCGAGGTACCAAAACCTAAGTTCGGATAGCGACAAACATACCCCTAAATTTTTCATTTGCCCAACTGACTCCATACAAGGGCGCTAAGCCTAGGCAAAATACCAAATACCCATTACCTATACCTGAATAATGTGAACCTGGATCCGAATTACTCGAACCCGAGGTATCCAATCCCAAATTCGGATAGCGATTTTGATTATCCGAAATTAGTTTGGGTAATTCGGTGAACCTGAGGTGCCGATCCAAAATTCGGATAGCGATTTTGATTACCCAAAATTAATTTGGGTAATTCGGTAATTCAGGTAATATCCCTAGTACCCAAACTACCAGAACTACCAAAACATTTGTCTCTATCTTTGTATTTATCATGCGCTGATAGTTGAACACTTGAACTTATCACTTTATTAGAATATAATTCTCTCTGATGGAACAAGTGATTTTAATACATTATTTTCTATAAAATGCTATTGAAATTCTATATAAATTGCTGCTGAAATTGTATATAAATTGCTACTGAATATTTGTGTAGTTTGTTGTTGCTTTTATTTTTTGTAAATTCGAGTATATCGGGAATATCCAAACCCGAATTATTGGGTACCCGAAATTACGGATAGTGTTTTTTCAGGATTAATATCGGGTAGCATTTCTCGTTACCCAAATTTTGAACTACCCGAATTACCCGACCTGAAAAATCAGGTAACCCGAACGTCCAGGCCTAGAGGGCACAGCTAGAATTGAGCAGGAATAGTATCGCCTCAGGAGATGGTATTAGTACGTAGAGGGTTTAGCATGCGCGTTCATGATGCATCACCACATATATTATACAGTATATATTATAAACAAACGTCGCAGGTGCATGCATCTCTGCTTCCATTCCATCTTATGTATCCGCAGCACCATGAGAATTCACAAGTAGTATGCACTATGCAGATTTCAGAAAACATGTCTTGACTCAGAATTAGTAGTAGAGTAGAAACTCAAACTCTAGACTAGATCTAGTACACTTGCATAGATGAAGCATGGAAGCAACAGTTCCTTTCTCCCATCCTTGTCCATGGCACAACAAAATGGATAAGGAGACGAGAGAAGCAACAGCTACCTAAGCTACGTAATTAACAAGATACAACATACAGCATGGGCTACATACATGGAATGGATGGATCAGAATTCAGAACCAGTGGTCTCAAAGCAATCTAGCTCCTGGCTGGTCATTATCAAAATATCATGCGACGAGGACGTAGACGGCGTAGATGATGCCCGGGATGTAGCCCAGGATGGTGAGCAGCAGGCAGATCCAGAACTCAACCTGCAGGCACAGACACAGCAGTAACTAGATTTGTATACATCGCAAGCAATTCCTTACACCTGACGAATGACGGATGCATCAGATGCTAAGCTGAGTTACCCCGATGCCGTAGCGGAGGAAGACGCCGACCGGCGGCAGCAGGATGGCCAGCAGGATCTCCAGGAACGTCTCCGACCCCATTGCCGACGCGCTCGCCGCCTTCTAGCTCTAGCTGTATATATTCTACGGTAGTTCTCTTCTATTCTAGGTGCCCAAGAGCCGGGAGGAGGTAGTAGCAAGTAGCTCAATGTCAGGGCAAAGTTTTGCCCAAGCTAGCTCAGCTCAGGCACCACTGAAGCGTAGTAGCGCTGCAGATGCTGATCCCAGTCCCAGGGAAAGAATCAAAGAAAGCTGCCAGCAGTGCCAGCAGGAGAGAAGACGTGGCAGCGCTGAGCTTCAGTGGTGCAACACCTGGCCTCGCTTCTAGGACGCGTGCCCTGCCTAGCATTACGTGTGCTTAGTTTAATCTCATACCTAAATAATTAATCACTAATGTGCGAAAACGCCATAGTAGTGACGCAAGGAAACTGACTTTGCATCAGTTGCCGAAATTAGCAATTTTGGTCAAATCTTGTTGAGTTGAATATTAGATTGCTTAGGTCTGTAGGTCTGTATCAAGCCTTTTCCTCCCATTCTTCACCCTTTAATCCTTCCCTCTTCCTCGCTCCAAGTTGTATTTTTAGATTCAAAAAATAACAATTATTAAAAATTTTTATGTCGATCTCCGGTACAGAAGGGTTGCATTTTTGCTGGGTTTGGTTTATATTTACCTGACCTACCTTTTTTATTCCAGTGTATTCACAAACTTAATCACTCGATTACCGCAATTAATTGTTAACAAAAGAATGTTTTTCTTTTCCACATTTTGCCGATGCAGATAGAAGTTTGATGTACCTAGACACCCCTGCTATCCACCGTTTTTGAGAGGGGTGAACTCTTTCATGGATCTCGCGGCGACGGACAGGGCAAAATGACAGTCTACTGCCCGTGCCACGCTCGCATCAATGAGTTTCCACAACTAGAGGATTAGTAGAGGAAGGCTATCTCTTTTTTTTTTGTTGAACAAACAAGGCGAGGCGAGGCCTTAATGAAGTGGAGGTGAACAACGATGTGGAAAAAGGGGTCCCAGCCGAAGACATGGATCATGATGACCTCAACGGTAGTTTCTGCTGGCTTTGTCTGCCCAAAACTCACCAAACTCTAACCAGCAAAAAAAGGACATGCAATGATGCAAGCAATCGGTGATCCAGACACACACATACCATAACCTCTCTGCATTGCTGACTATAGTAATAGTAGTGTATATTTCAAGAAACTACCACCACAAACATGCCCTGGTACCTCACCTGCAACTGGAAAGGCAGGCCAATGTCCAACTTCGTGAGTCATCGGAACACAAGGCAGATACATACCACAAACAGCTCCTGCTCAACACCGCTGCCACAGGTTCTGGGCAATGTTCTTCGCCATGGCTTTCTCCAGGAAAAGGGCAGACTGCGCGGTAATAACCTGGACCAATCCTCACGTCAGCGATCCCACGCAACAAAAACGTCTCTGGCAACGAGCAAAGGCGAAAGGAACAAATCGAAGCTATGCCACCGGGAACACGGAAAAAATCTCATCCCCATCGACCCGGGAAGGCGGGAAGTAGGTGACTAAGCAAAGGCATGTACATACCTTGTATTTCCTTGCCTAGCGCAGAGCCTCCAGGTATCACTCGTCTTGCAGCAATGCAGTCACACATGGCCATGGCGGGCGCAGGGCTCACTCCCTCTGCCCATGTCCCAGCTTCCTTGTTGGCTCATGTTTCAGACCCAGTTCCATCTTCCTTGGAAGGCTCGAGATTCTGCAGGAATTGGTAGATAATCAAAATGAATCTACTGATCAATGCAATGTCAGAGTGCCTTATGGTAAACATCAGAGTCACTTGTCAAACCAGAATGTGAATTGGCAATTGGTAAACATTTTTGTTGTGACTGGCAACCAACAATGTGCAGAATGTGACCGCTAACTTTTGGTGAATCACTAGAAGTATGGTGTGATTACAGCAATAGGCTATAATTTGCGTTAGCAAAATCTGATGACCATATTCAATTCCACCTGTCAAATGGGACTCCAGGAGCTCAATTATAAAACAGGCAGAGCCAGGGTCCAAAGAATTCAGATAAGTGTAGCTGTTATTAGAGAAAACCCCAAATGCAAAATATATGAAATACAAAGCAATATCTCCATCTGCTTTACTTTTCATGTGAATAGTCTCAACTACTTTTCAGTTTAGCAGGATAGCAGTCAATGGGAATCTTAGCTCAACAGAACATCAACAATAATAGTTTCTAAATAACATCACAACCATCTTGAACGGCATCATTACATTCTGAAGATGATATTAGGCTGAATGACAATACTGTCATCTCTTCACTCCAAACTCCAAAGTAACAAAATGTGGTAGCTAGGCAAGCAAATTTATGAAAACGTCCAATTGGTCCTCATTTGGGCAACAAAAATGGAACAGATGACAAGTTAACAACCTGCTGCAATTCTACATGCAAAGTTACTCTCTGAATAATTGTTGGAATCATTAGGCAGAGGCACAACCGAAGTGCTGCCTTGATTCTTCAGAACCATCGGGCAAACTAAAAAGCACAACCCAAGAGTTACAACAGTATGAAATGTACACATTGCACAGCATAATCATCATTAAACATTTAATAATCACAAGAAACCTGCCTTGTTTGACACAAATAATGTTATTTAAGGATAAAGGTTGCTACAAGCTAGTAGTGTTGCCATGATGATAACATAAAGGCTGTGAGGAGCCTTGAGCCCAGCCTTTGAGGCACTGCAAATAAGACAACCTAGTACCTTTTGATCTTATCTGGTTTTGTCCTGAGGAAACATAGACAGCATGCGCTGCACAAAAAATCAAAGCATACACCACAAAAGAGGAAAATGGATGATATGCCAATGATCTCGCAGAAAATATGCATTGCCATCACGCTGGCCTGATAAAATTGTCTAAATGGTCATATTGCATGGAAGCATTATGCCAATTGTATCAGTGATACAGCAGATTTATTCTTTATTAATGGAAGAACTAATGGCACAAATAAACAACAAATATACCAACTGGATATTGGCAATCATCAACAATTTATGATACCAAACCAACAACAAATACCTCCACAGAAACTCCATGATGATAGCAATAAGACATGCAAGGTCACCAAGCATTTCATCATCAACAAGAGCTAAGAGCCAGACAGGCTGGAACATCTCAATTGGCGAAACTGCCACGCTTCCAGCATGCTGGCCATGTTGCATCAATGTGCCTGAAGACTCCAGGATTTGCTATCACCGCTTACAATTTGCTGCCTTTTGTTGGCAGCATCAGATCTATGGAAACCCAATGTTCCCTGACTTGTTGCTCCATGCTCAACTCCAGGATTTGATTGCACAGTTGTATTCACAGATCCACTTGATTGGTCTGAATTCACACGGGAGCCCTCAACAGGCTGACCACTGAACAAAACTGAATTCATATTGCGCTCTGAGTGTTCTTATCCTCTTTGACCACCTCAAGATTAGCTTGATTTCCAGTGTGATTCTGCTGCACTTGGCTGCCTTGGCCTTGAGCGCCACTATCACTCACAACAGGTGGTTCAAGTTCAATGGAGATCTGATTCTGACTTCTTCCATCAAGCAAATGCTGATTCTTCTGCAGACACAAATTAGCAGAATGCCCTTTCTCTCTACAATGATAACAAACTCTCTTAACTGGTTTCTTTGGGGTGTCGCTCTTCATAGAATTGTTGTTTGACCTAGGTTGACATGGTCCTTGAGAGCCAGTGTGCTGGCCTGGAGTGTTAGAAGGCTGTGGCGACTGTAAGTTCCTTGTAACTGATTTGCATGCCTTGGAGGACTGATTAATTGAGTGATCCATGTCGCCACAGATGAAACTTATTCCTTTGGCGCAGCTACTTTGTGGGAATTGTACTGGAGTCTGGTTGCAAATCTTTCCTTCTGATGGAGACAAATTCTGCTTCTGAGTGTCCCTATTGCTAAATAACAGTGGATACTTCTTTGGGCAATTAGCCACCAAATGTCCTTCTTCTTGACAACGGAAACAAGCCTTACCAGCAGCCTTGCCTGGGGTGCTACCCTGATGAGATTGAGCACCTTTTAATGATGTACCATGAAGTACAAGACTATCGCTGGCTTGGTATTTCTTTGGGCAATCAGCCACGAAATTTCCTCCTTCTTGACAACGGAAACAAGCCTTACCAGCAGCCTTGCCTGGGGTGCTACCCTGATGAGATTGAGCACCTTTTAATGATGTACCATGAGGTACAAGACCGTCGCTGGCTCGGTCCTTCTTTGGGCAATGAGCCACGAAGTGTCCTTCTTCTTGACAATGGAAACAAGCATTGACTGGGGTCCTACCCTGATGAGATTGAGCACCTTTTAATGATGTACCATGAGGAAGAAGACTGTCGCTGGCTTGCTGATTCTGAGAGTTCATCTTCACTTCACTTATTTCACTTGTTTGCTTCTTAGCATGCTTACCCTTCCAAGGCTGAAATTCCTTATAAGTGATACTCCACCCATCTAGGACTATCTTGTGTGGATTACCTCTGACTTGAGGAACTGCTGACTCCTTAGGGTTCGGACCCTCCTTACTAGAGCATTGCACTAGAACTGACGGTGCCGTAAGATCCAGGTGCTGACTACTTTCCAACTGTGGCTCCTGTGAGGTCGCCTTCCTCTTCTTGTCAACATGTGACGGTGCCGTAAGACCCAGGTGCTGACTACTTTCCAACTGTGGCTCCTGTGAGATTGCCTTCCTCTTCTTGTCAACATCAGGGTGGTGATTCTGGCTTGTCTTATCTTTGACTTTGCTTGAGTTGTTCTGAAGACAGGGAAAACCGTAATGTCTACAACAGTGGCAGGGTTCCTGAGTTCCAAGTGGCTTACCACTAATGCCTTCATTAGACTTCATGTTTTTCAATGCTTTTACTACTTGCCTCTTCAATGGTCTTTTTAGACTGCCAATCTGGTCTTTCTCCTGAGACTGATGAGAATTCTTCTGTTGGGTCACTCCTTCCAATACTTGCTGCTGCATAGCTACTAGCTTCCCCATATTGAAAGGGGGCAGGGATGGCATGGACGGATTCTCCTGATGGTTGACAATGGACACACCATTGTTGCTCTTGAGAATTGAAGCTTGTACAGATACAATCTCCTGGAGTTTGGCCATGTGCTCGGCTGCTGTTTGTAGAATCTGGGCTTGCCAAGCAATTCTTTGTTCTGTGTTGAGTGAGTACAATAAATGTGCTTCTGGAACAAAGTTGTTGATCCCACTGTCTTCAGCATCACTTGCTGTGTTCACCATCTGATGTTTAGCAAGGGTAGCATGAGCAGAGGTAGAAGAACAAAAGCATAAAACGAGATAATGAAGCAAGATTACAAGGATTAGGATAGCTCAAGGAAAGGTAAATACAAGACAAGATACAACCCAGCTAACTTATTACTTATATATAGACAACTGATGTCATTGTGGATGGGAGTCCACAACACATCAACACTCATTAGTCATTACAAATAGCTAATCACCGAAAGACACAAGAACAAGCACAGCACACAAGCTCGCTTAGAAAATCCACATGCAACCTCTGATTGAGTGAACTGGGCAAAGACTGCATTGCATGCTCTGTCCTTCTGCCAAAACCGTTTGGAATCAGGTTATGACATGGGAGCACTTCAACATTGTGTTAGCCCAGCAAGATAATGAACCATCGGCTATCAGCGCTCGGAGGGAGGCAGCAGCCTGGAAGGTCCCAAATGATGAATGGGACGCTTCAATTGCTCAGGAACCTACATAATATGGAACATCTGGAAATAACGAAAACCTAAGGATCTTTGGAAACAGATTCCAAACTGCACAGCAGGTGGCTTCAAAAGCTAAAGATGACATCGACCAGCATAGACATCTTCTACTCTTCTCCTGTAAAAAAGAGTGCTAATTTTGAACTCCTTGCTGTGTCTTGGGGGGATGTGTTTGGGTCTAAGGCTGGACGAAAAACTCGTGACTCGTTAGCTCGCTCGACTCGTAGCTAGCTCGGCTTGGCTCGACTTGGCTCGTTGTGTTTTCTTAACGAGCCGAGCCAGCGTTTCAGCTCGTTAGCATAACGAGCTAACTCGAGCTGGCTTGTGAGCTGCTCGCGAGCTTAAGAAGCTCAGTATAAACGCAAGGATAGCAGACCAATGGAGGCCCAATAGCCATCACCCGGCTCATTCTTTATATACTCGCAATAAAAAATTGATCCTCAAGCTCACGCTGGCCAACCACTCGCCCATCCCCAAGGGCCAAGGCCTAGAAATATCTCTGGTCTCGTTCCTCTCCTACATCTATCGTCAGACCTCATGCATTAGCACTCGCACGGATGCGACTCTGTCACGGATGCGGGATGCCACATGCTTCTTGCCCCTCTCTGTTCCTCGCCGCCCCCATGTCCTCTCTGGTCTTCACTTCCTCCCTCCACCGGTGCTATCCGCATCCGCGACGGCGGAGATGGCGCCGCCGATTTCTTGTTCCTGGAGACGACGCCAGCATAGATCTCACGCAAAGTTACAGAGGCATTGCACAGCTACAACATCGTGCCTAGGTACCGATCGAGCATCGTGTAGATGACATCCCAACCTACAATCCAAGCTGCTCCCCATCGTACTTTCCAGCTTCCTAACCATCATCACCAAGCACGTCGAGCTCGCGAGTTGAAACGATCTGGCTCGAGTTTTTTCACGAGTCGAGCCGAGCTTCATTTTTTGCTCGTTTGCTTTTCTAGTTGAGCTGAGCCAGCTCAGTATCTTCACGAACTAACACGAGCCGAGCCGAGTTGATTCGGCATCCACCCCTGTTTGGGTCCCAATAGCGATCTCTTTCCTCTCCTAAATGGAAGGCGGAGCTCTTGCAATTTTCGTTCTCCTAACTGGAAGGACAATGTTATTGCGCGACAGGGAATCACGCGACCCCTTCTTCCTCCTCGCGACGCTCCCTCCCCACGCCCCTTCTCCCCCGCCCTCCACCACCGGTGGCCAGCAGCTCCCGCCGCCTCACCGCACTACCCACCTCCCTTGACCCCGCCCTCCCCTAAACTCAGGGAAGCTGCCGGCGAGCTCCGCCCTCGTCCTAGCCCCCACCCCGCCCCCGTCCCCACCGTTGGTGGCCGGCGGCGAGCCGCCTCGCTGCGCCACCCTCAACCCGCCCCTCGACCCTGCCCACCCTAATCCTAGGGCAGGACGCCGGCGACTGTGATGCTCCCGCTGCCCCGGCGGGCGGTGCCCCCGCCGTCTCTCCCGCCACCACCGCCGTGCTGTGGCCGCCTCCCCCCGACCCCCCTTCAAGAGCCATCGAGGAATAGATCCATAACCTCACCGAAACCCTAACCCTAACGCCGCCGCCGTCTTCTTCCTCTCCAGCAGGTCGCAGGTGCAGGATCGTGGGCGTGGTCGCATGGTCACATGGGAGAGGGTGGGCTGGCCAGCGTCGTGCCGTACGCACTCCGCGCAACGGTTGCGTGTTTGTGTTTCCATGGCTGGAAGGCAGAGCTCCTTCCATTTTTTGTCCCAATAGGGGGAAAAGTACGAAAATTCCTAGCTGCGCATGTTCTATAAAAGCAAACGTGATTGGATCGATTGGGACTGGGTTAGAGCATCAGACGTGAAGTACAACCGGATGCTCCATCGACACCCACCGAACAGGAATCAAATCACAAGGGGAATCATGGTACAGCAAAGATCAACCAGGCTAGCAAAGCGTCCTTGAGCACTCCAATAATCAAGCAAGCCAGCAATCTACTGTACAATCGAATTCGCAGCGAGGCCAAACAGCGACATCGCAACGAGGTCTCGATCCATGCCTGCGTCGCGCTGGGTGGCTAACCAGCACCCGTAAGGCCCAAGTCAATCGGTCCTGCTGTTGCTAGCACTCAAAGCATCGCCAAAACGCGTATACCTACAGTACGGAGGAGGGTTTCGAGGGGGGAGGTGGGCACCGTACCTTGGAAGAGCAAACGGCGAGGATTCAAGCGACCTGGGATGCCCGAAGCGGACCACGCCGCAGGAGGAGCCACCCACCCGAGAAGAGGAGCGGAGTTGGGGGCCGCCGACGAGAGGAGAGGAGGGGAGGGGAAGGGCCGAAGGGGGAGGAACCGCGATCGGGTCTGGTGGTGCCGTGCGAGCTCGTGCCGACGGTTTGTCGCCGCGATTATCCAGGAGCCCGATAGGTTAGGGGAGAATTTCTATTTTTTAATCTTTTTTATTTTTTTAATATTTTAATAATAATCACTCTAAAAATATCTTTGCGGATTTTTTTTTCTTGTTAACGCCGATGGCACGACCAAACAACATCCGCCACGTTAGACGATGTTTTCAACGTACAAAATGCTATCACGATAATCCTGCTGGTGTGACAGTATTATTTTGTCGCGCCATCGGGATGACGTGAGAAGACAAAATATTTGAAAAATTATAACTCTTTGATATGACTTTGGATGAAGATGAAATTTATATAAAATATATAGTTTTCGATGAGATCTACAACTCTATAGTTTTGAGTTTTTTCATTTGAAGAACATTAAAATGCTAAAAAATAATATAAAATTTCAATAGCATAATAACAGCGTACAAGTGCTTGTCACATTAGAAAAATAAATTTTTTTTGCATGTTATCAAATGAAGATACTTTTTACATGAAAATTGTAGCTCTCAATGAGAACTACAACTTTGTAATTTTGAGTTTTTATATTTGAGATAGTTAAGATGCACGAATAAATAATATAAAATTTCGGCAGCATAATGAACACGTACTAACGTTTGTCGTATTTGAAAAATAATATCGTTTTTTGTATGGTTACATTTTATATAAAAGTTGTAATACTTAGTGAGATCTACAAATTTATAGGTTTGAGTTTTTCATATTTGAGGTCGCTAACATATTCTAAAACTAATATAAAGTTTTAGCAGCATATTAATGATGTATCAAAGCATATTTTTTGAGAAAAATCATATATTTCTTATTTGATATCACATAAAAATATTTTTTAAATAAAAGATGTAGATCTCATTAAAAGATTCAACTTTGATATAAAAAGTACCTCCATTTGACATGATACCAAAATGATATTATTTTTCTAATGCGATAAGCACTACTACGCGATTACTATGTACTAAAATTTTATATTATTTTTTTTAGCATCTTAATGACTCTAAATGTGAAAACTCAAAACTATAAAGTTGTAAAGATATATGTAATTTTTTTTCATTTGACACCATACGGAAAAGATATTATTTATCTAATGCGAAAAGCACTAGTACGTGGTTATTATGGTCCTAAAATTTTATATTATTTTTTAGCATCTTAACTTTCTCACATGAAAAAACTTAAAACAACAAAGTTGTAGATCTCATCGAGAGCTATAATTTTTATATAAATTTCATCTCATTCAACGTGGTATCAAAGAGTTATGATTTTCAAAGGTTTGATCTTGTCACGCCACTCCCGGTGGCGCGACACAAAACACTGTCACGCTAGCCGGAGTGGCGTAACAGCGTTTCCATGTCAGAAATGGCGTCTAACATGGCGGATGTTGCCGCGTCAATACATATGGCGCGACAACGTTATTTGGTCGAGCCAACGACGCTGGTTCGACTAAAAGAGGCAAATCCGCAAAAAGGTTTTAGAAGCGATTATTATTAGAATATTGAACAAAAAAAGATTAAAAATAAAAAAAAACTAAGTTAGGTTAGAGCCCAGAGCTTACTAGGCCAGGCTTGGATCAGTATTATAGGACCGGTCCTCTGCCTCTCCCTTCCTTATTAGCGTACTATTTTAATAAAATAATAAAATAATAGTGAGCGTCAATATCCGTCGTTTTTTCAGCCACATGACTTTGGACGTGTTTAATATCCAAAATCCTTTGTTCGAAACATCTAATATAATATCAAAAGTTTTCATTTCGTGAACTAAATACAGTCTTAGTATTGTAGGACCGGTCCTCTGGCTCTCCCCTTGGCCCTGTTCGTATCATTTTAATAAAATAACAGTGTTTTTTCTATCCGACAAATCAGCACGAACGTCAGGCGGTTTTTCAGCCAGCCGATCTTTTGCTCCCTCGGCACTGCACGGCTGCGCGTGCGCGACCTGCGCCCAACCCCAGCCCCCAGCGGACGGCACCCGGCGACGGCGAGCAGCAGCATCTGCCGGCGATCCGGCCCTCCCAGTCCCAGCTCAACTCAAGCTCCGGCTTGAAGCAAAGGGAGCACAGCCATATCCATTCTTCGGAGTAAGAATTGAAAATTTCGCGTTTGTATTTTTTTCATTGGATTCTTGTA